GACAGAGGTTTCGTCATTTAGAGCTTAGGTTTCGACTTTCGTCATCAAGCAAAAAAGGTTTCGTCTAACAACTATATGACTTTCCCCCTTTGTTCTGGAATACTCGATGATAGCTCGCTTCCTATAAATGGTATATTGAGGAGTCTCATAAAGCTAGATCGAAAAAATTTCAGTGCTCTCAAAATATAAAATATTATTGATTAGTTTATTCGCAAAGAAAAAGAGAGAATTTTTTGGTAATACCTCATTTGGTAAGTTTCTAGATTGCCTAGATTCATTATGCGAGATATTATCATCATTATTAATACGTATTACACTATGTGATTTGCCTGTTAATTGAGTGGTTGGTATATTCAAATTTTTACCTAGTATGATTTTAACCTGAAAAATAATAAACATTTTATATTATTGTACTTATTTATAGGGATGGTAAGGCGAGTACAGCAAGTGCTAAATGAAAGGTTCTTTTAAAACAGCATATTGGCTTGATTTATCTGTAATTGTCAAGATAAAGGATAGTGGTATTGAAATCAGATATCTTGAGACAGGATAACTGGATTCTAGCATTGATAAATAGCTAAGAAATCAAAAGATTAAATTGGCCATCAAAGGATTCTATCAATTCTATCATAATGCCAAAAATTAGAAATTAAAAAAGATAAATGTAAAAGATGTGTTAATAATCTTTATAATCAATGCTGCTATGCTATGATGAAATTCTGGTGTTTGATTAAGGAATCTGGCATATATAAAAGCTGTTTACTCAAGTCTATCAAGTACAATATTGAAAATATATATTACTTAATATACTCATTTAGAACTGTGATTGCATTCATTATATGTAAACTTTTATTGAATAAAGAAGGCATGGATGAATCTGATTCTGATAAAATGAAATCAATAGTTACAATACCACTTAATTCTCCATCTTTAAAAACAAAAAAAATCTTAGAAAAAATAATCCATGTATATATCTTATTTTATATATTAATAAAGTAACCCAATAGATTGATTTTACATATACGCATAGTATTCTTATTTCATAAAAATGTATTTTGATATTATATATGATATATATTGATATCAATTTCTAACACACATAAAATTGAAAATTTTTAAAATTGAATGGACACAAAAATTTATTTTTAAGCATGCCTTCTGTACAATTCTTTAAAAATGTTAGCATTATTTTTACTCAATGATACTCAAAATCCAATCATAATTTCTAGATTTTATTACATGTGATTCAAATATTAGTTTTTGGAAATTTGTGTGTTGTACTAAATGTTATTATATACTGTATAATGGAACCAATAAATTACTAATATAAGAACTACTCGGCACATTATCATTATGGTAATTTATGCCGAAAATCTAGCATTAGATTTTTTATAATTCTGGGCCGAAATTCGTCAGAACGAGGTTAGCATTAAGTAATACTAGCAAATCAAGTTTATAGCAAATTATCTGGGCTGCGTCAACAGAAATCATGCAGATTAATATTTTTTTTAAAAAAATTTAATCCTTATTTTTTTACAGCTCATGCTATATTTCGATAATTTTGAAGCTATCTTTATGAGTTAATAGTCAAAAGAAAACTTAATTTCTTTAATATTAATTCATCAAGACAGTCATCGAGATATGAGCTATGAAAGTTAAGGTATTCGTTTTTTTTGAAAAAAACATTAATCTGTTTGATTTCTGTTGACGACAGCAGCCTATCTGCCGACCATTTTTACCTAATGAATGGACTACAACTCCATCAGTAAAATTTTAGTAATCTTGGACAAAAT